CTAGTAATTTTTGGGGCCCTTTATAGCTTACTGTTTGGTGTGAGCCAATGATCCGTGTTGAAGACCGTACTGTGACCTATAATGGTTTACTCTTATAAATTTTGACTTGGATGGAGGTTGTCTCATTTGCACTCATACCACATCTTCTTATATCTATATATAGCCTGTTGTTAGAAAGCAGGACAAACTTGTGTTTGATGGTGTTAATATGTTTATAAAAAATACAGCTGATATTATGCCATATAATTATTTCATTACTAATGGTGATTTAATTGCAATAAGCTACGGTCCGGTACCAATTTCGTCGTCAGCTCTGTTGCATAAGGACAAATGAAAATATTAAATTTCTTTGTAACAAGCTTAAGGATGTCATATAACCTCCTAGATGGTATTTTTTAAAGATATATGAACATTAAAACTCATGAGATACGTTTTATGACTGTTTGTTAAAAAATGTCATTCAAGATCAATTAACAAAAATTATGGATTTTTTCCCAAATTTTTCAAAATAATTTCCCCTTCGTACATTGATTTATAATCTCGACGAGGTTTTGATCTCAATATCATAGTCCTTTTAAAGACCACTTACTCAAGTATCGTAATTTATAACTCCCGTGAAAACGCTAATTAATTTTTATCAGAGACATGTCTCTGTTGTATTTAACAAGATTAGAAAATGCAACGACATCTATTGGAAGGAGTTAAGAGTTATCGTTAATTATCTACTGTCCAATATAAACAGATTGGGTTATCTCGCTTGGAAATGTGACATATTCTTGCACATGATTCCTTGAAGATTTAAATTCACGGTTCACATGTAGTCAAGAAATCCTCGAAAATTGGTATCACACGAATAATAATGAATCCCTGGTATTTTGTGCACACAAAAGATTGTGGCCTCCTGGTTATGAATTCTTGTGCGAATCATGCATATTCTAGAGAACAACAATCGATATAAGAGAGTTGGACAACTTTATATCACATCATCAGGGTACGTACTTTAACATTGCGAATGGTAACTGTTAAACTTAAACTGGATTATTTTATAAGTAAATGTTAACCAATGTTTCGATTGTACTTGGTTTTTTTTTTGTTTTTTTTTCATTTTGTTATATGTAGGGTTAATATAAAAATAAGAAACTGTGGTGTGATTGCCAATGAGGCAACTCTCCACAAGAGACCAAAAATGACACAGAAATTAACAAATATAGGTCACCGTACGGCCTTCAACAATGAGCAAAGCCCATACCGCATAGTCCGCTATAAAAGGCCCCGAAATGACAAATGTAAAACAATTCAAATAGGAAAACTAACGACCTAATGTATGTACCAAATAATGAACGAAAAACAATATGTTACACAGCAATAAACGACAACCACTGAATAACAGCTTAGCTCCTAACTAGGGATAGGCACATACAGAATATAAAAATCAGTTGACAAAGGCTTAAGTCATCATATGGATACGTCAAATAGAAATATAATACATCTAACAAAAACACAGAGTAGAAGTGGACGGGAACTTGTACATCCCCACAACAAAAAGACACTAAGTACAGATATGAGAGTACTCGCATTTACTGACAGCTAGTTCAAAGACAATTACAACTAATAAAAAAAAACATACATCTGAGACTAAAATATCAATCAGTACACATCCAACATCCAATGGATTTAGTGTAAAAACGTCATAAACAGTCAGAGAAAAACACGACCTTGTGCAATGCCAAGATAACAGTTATCGATAGATTGTAGAGACATGAATGTGCATATGTATATACAAAAATATTTTGCTTTATTTTTACTTACTGGTAACAAAATCAATATTAATACCAATCAAAACTATATTCAAATATCTAATTACAGTATTGAATTGGTAACAATTTAGGATAACAGATCGTTTCTACTTTCCTGACTCGGTAAACAATATCTAGTTTAAAATGAGGATGTGCTAATTTATAGTGTGTCTTTTTATGTTGTAACGTTACACTGCTGTTTCAGGTTAGGGTGAAGGTTGGTACATGTTAAGACGTTTAAACCCTCTGCTTTTGACAGGAGCTTGATGTTCAGTGGTCGTTTGTTGAAGTGGTTCATAAGTGTTTCTCGTTTCTCGTTTTTTTTATATATAGATTAGACCGTAGGTTTTCCTGTTTGAATTGTTTTACACTTGCCATTTTGGGGCCCTTTATAGCTTGCTGTTTGGTGTAAGCCTAGGCTCCGTGTTGAAGACCGTACTTTGACCTTTAATTGTTTACTTTTTACACATTGTGACTTGGATGGAGAGTTGTATCATTGGCACTCATCCCACATCTTCTTAAAATAAGAACTATATTTGTCTTTCTCATTTATTTTGGCACTAAATTTATTTCGTGCTTTACGTTTTAGTGTCTATAAATTCATAGGAATACTTTCACGCATGCGCAGTATATCGTAAAGGAAGCACCTGTTTGACTCCTCGATTATGATGGAAGTTTTTAACGTGAAAACATTTCTGAACGTTTTAAATAAAGTTCTATCTTTTTAATCGAAATTGAACGTTTTATATCAAAGATGACGAACATACGATCATTTGACGAGACTACGACAAACGAACTGCAAATTATGATCATTTTATAGAAATATTGAAATTAAAAAGCGAACTGTCAGGGGGAACACAATGTTGTTGAAACGACGAAACTACGACAAACGAATTGCAAATTGTGGTCGTTGGCCTTGAGGAATATTGAAATTAAAATGCAGACTGACTAATTTTACTGGGAAAAATATTTAACCGGATAAGTGACTCCTCCGATGGCGATAAGCGGATTAACTGTAATCACAACTTTATAACACCTGTTGTAAATGTTAATTTAAGCTGAGGGTCATAAACTTGTCAGAAACATGTAGACAGGTAGAATTATAGTATTGCGAAAATATTTTACACTTTCCAAATTTAAGTGACGAAATTGATTTGAAATACTTTCGTCATTTTGAAAACAGTTTCGTAAATTACGAAAGTGACGAGCGCTAGTGACTTATTTCTATATATCCCGTTTGAAATAAGTTTTCTAAGTACACCTCCTATACTACTTGTGTTGTGCGTTCTTTACTGACCAAGTTCATAGAGGGGAACGGATAGACCTCAATGAATCATTGTTTTGAACAATTTATACTATATAGGATTTAAGCATTGTTTCGAATGTACTTGGGTTTTTTGTTACGTGTAGGATTAATTACGCCTCCTATACTATTTGTGTTGTGCCTTCTTTACTGACCAAGTTCATAAAGGGGAAGGGTTCAGATCTCAATAAAAATAGTTAACATAGCCACATATCCATGTGCTTGTACCAATTTAGGATCATCGTCAGTACATGATAATCATTTGTTATAAATATCATTTACAGAATAGAGGAGTCTCTAAATGGGGGTTCTACATTTCCGAAATCACTGTACATGTGTCCCTTATTCTCTATTATTTATATTTAAGCAATCCGTTATTCATTATTTTTTTCCACTATTTTTCTCTTTCATTTATTTTTGTTTTTATTCTCCTTTTTCACATGGTTCTGTAGTCAATTATACGCGTAAAACTTCAACCAGACCCTCGTTTAGTAACACAACTTACAGTTTGTTTCAGTAGTTCAGTGAACAAGTCTTCAATATGTTGACGTGTTAATTTTAAGTCATTGTATTTCTAATATAAGAAAAGACATCCACAGTACGCTTTTCCTAGTGCGGTCGAAAAACAGATACCGAATGTTACATTTATTACGTCGCCCGTATGAGAGATAGACATTCACAGTATGCTTTTCTATGTGCGAATGGAAAAAAAGACACACCAAGGTGTTACGTTTATTGTAAAGGTATGGTCATTGCGTCTCCAATAGCATACATATAAATTCACAGGTTGATTTTCTAGGTGCGGTTGGGGGAAAAACACACACCAAGATGTTACATTCGTTGTAAATACACGTTCATTGCGTCTCAATAATATAGATACAAATTCATGGGATGATTTTCATAGTGCAGTTGGGACAAAAACCACACCAAAGATGTTAAATTCATTGTAAACTCATAGTCACTGCGCCATCAATATCAAATTTGACGAATTGTCAATGCAAGATCTTGTTGCACTTCGGTTTAAGAATACAGCGTCTTTCAACTATCCAAGCAGCGAATGTGATCGATCCTTCTTAAAACACAAATAACGACTTGTGACATAAAGGAATGAACATGGTGGTTGTGGTGGGGAGGATGATTCTTTTGATGAATATTCTGACCTTGTAATAACTTGGGAAAAATATTCTATCCCACGATAGGATGACAATTAACGTTTTGTTAATATATAATACATTACACTGCAATAAATAGTTGTGCATGTATTTAGTGAAAATAAATTAGCCTTACTATCAACTAATATAAATGAATATTCAATCCTCAAAAATCATCTTGCTCCTACCTTCCCCGATAATCATATGATCGCCCATAATCAAAATATTACTTTTCCTTAACACCTTGGCATCTTATCTTTCTCCGGTAGTTATCATAACATAAAATAGATATTAGCAACTACCACATATATTTGACGGTACATACATGTGATACAACAGCAACCACCAAAACCCGACTCCTCTGACACAAAAATATAAATATAGACAACCAACAATTAGCAATACACGGTAGAGATAGCCTGACTGTGTACAGCAAAATTGTGACGAGTTTCATCCAGTCTCACATGCACCAAAACTTCCTTTTTTGCCTTTTTATGTCATATATTGTAAAAGTAAAACACACAATGCAAACCTGAACAGCCAATATATCAACAAGAAGACCACTGACTTGAATATAAAAATGCTCTTAATTGGGAAAGCAGGGTCAAAATGTGCTTCCTATTACAGTAACATCGCTTACTAGATAGAAGCTGTTGTCGCTTTTACTAAACTTGTTCCAAAAAAGGAATTAGAAATGCATATGACATTGTTTTCTTATTTTACATTAACCAGAGATGTAATAAAACAACATTTAATTATTTGTTTTAAATTATTTAATCGTATCTAAACTATCTGCCTTATTAAAGACTTGGGTTCCTGATTTCTGTCTGTAGTCACATTTTCTGGCTCTTCATTATACTCTCATTGTTTGAAATTTTCCACCAATAATACAATCTGGTCTGATAAAATTACTGAAATAAAAAAAGAAAAAAATGGTTATCGAGTAACTTAAATTGAAATTGCTTACATGTTTTAGTGCATAGTACAGACTCTATAGATAAAATTAACACTGACTGTGCAACACCACACCGTTTAACTGGAACAATAGTGTCGTTATAATGATTTTAGTGCATCCGAAGCGCTTTTCTGTATCAAACTCCACAGTGAACATTCAAATCCAAACATTTGGTATTGATGTTTCCTAGCAGCTGTATGTTTCAAGAATATCCAGATTTCCTTTTCATATAATTATATCTACTTTTCTCCTTTAATAAATACCTGAAGCCTTTTTAAACTTATGAGTTTAAATGTCCCTTTGGTATCTTTCGCCTCTCTTTTGAAAGCATTTATTATGACACAATCTTGTAAGCTAGTGAGCATATTAGTATGTTCACCATGTTTATGTCAATTTTTTTCTGAGATCATCTTGATAGTCATATGAATGAATAAATAAACCAATGAGGGTCGGTTGAGAACAAAACTTTACGACAAAAGAGATGAAACCAACTTTCCAATTCTATGTAGCAACATTCCAGCAGCGCCTGCATATGGGGTATACATCTTCTAATTGATACGATATTACAGGGCTTGCATTTCCTATCATGATTTCCTTAATAGAGATTTGCCTCTCACAAGGAAGTTATTAAACCAAGAGTTCCACATGAAACTGATGGTTATATAAAGTACCGTTACTCTGGAACAGCAAATCATCTAGTGGTGAAGTTGAAATCATCCATTCAAAAACTTTACGGACGCCACGTACCACGAGTTGGTTGACCGTTATGGAATACCGTTTCACATATGACGACGGATACGTTCAAATTGTCGTAACGACATCCCGTCCTCTTTTCCACGAATGTGACCTACTGAATAAGACTTATTACCGGATTTATTCTTACATGAGTAACACTACGAGTGCCACATATGGAGCAGGATCTGCTTACCCTTCTGAACACCTGAGATCACCCAGGTTATTGGTTGGGTTCGCGTTGTACAGTCTTTAGATTTCTATGTTGTGTTTTGTATACTATTGTTTCTTTTGTTTTTTTTTGCCATGGCGTTGTCAGTTTTTTTTCGACTTATAGGTTCATGATGTTTGAGTGACCCTTTGATATCTTTTATAAGTCTATTATCTCTGTTCATTTGGGATTTTGATGTTGATGTCTCATATATTATAGTTGTTATACGCCTATGCAAATTGTATACCAAAGTCCGTCCGTTCATCTGTCAACCCTTCCTACGATAACTCAAATTTGCTTGAACCAATTATGTAATTTTAATAGAACATTAGGATTGACGACAGAAAGCTCCGTATTGCTTTTGAAAATGGATGATTTGTTGTTCCAGAGTAACGGGACTTTATATAATCATAAGGTTTCATGCAATTTTGCACATCTAATATGCCTGGATTGATTACCTAAAACAGAAAGCTTTCGGTTTGCATACCAGAGTTGAAGGACTTTATTTGCAAATTAGAATAAATGTTTCGTTTGCTGTACCATAACATGACCTAACATCCATCTAAATGCCTATTTACAGGGAATATAATTTCTTTAAGTTCTATAAATCTTCAAAAATAAATTATGTGAAATAAGACTGTTCAAAAACGATGCTCATTTTACAGTGTATAGTTATTTATGAAGTATAAGAACTCTGGCAAATTATTCCAAAATTTTATTTTGTGATGAAAACGTTGTCAGTAAGATCAAGTGTTGAAAAAATATTAACAGGGCAAAACAAGTATTAGAGTGAATAAATTGATTTCGACATCGACTGATCAAGTATTCTATTCATATTTCTAAATAACATAATTCAATTATAGAAGAACATAATATTGGTCAAGGGTATTTCATTTGTAATTAAGTAAATAGTACGGAGAGGGACAAATAAATAGCCGTTGTTTTAATAAACTGTGCATCTGTTGGAGTGTGAAATACATTTTTACTATAGAGACGTAATGGACAACGCTTTTATTGATTGACTAATAATTTCGGAAACAAATGTAACAGTTCGTATTACGACGATAAAAATATAGGATTTTATTTATCTCTGAAGATTGATAGACCTTAAACAAACTAGATAAATAACATAATCAGAGACTACAAAAGTTCCGTTTAATTGAGTAAATAAATCAAAGGTAAACACAAAATATCGACAAAGACAGTCGCTGACGATAGTTGTTATGTTACGCAACCTCAGTTTTCCTAGTTAAAAGGGATATCAAAGGTAGAAAAAAAAGAATAAACAATGATAATCATGTCAACATTCAAAACAATAATAAATATCCGAATAAAAAAACTATAATTACAGATATGTCCACCTGAACTTAATTAATGGCCATTACACTTCAAAGTATATTTTTAAAATATAGCATTGTTCTTAATAGGAAAAATATGATATTTTCAATATGATGCCCCAAGCACCCCCCCCCCCCCCCCCCCCTGGGACGACAAAATCAATCATGCTCTCTTACACTTTGCTGTTATCTCCTAGCAGTTTTCACACACATCGCGATCAAAAACAATAACAAAATATTATCCATTTAAATGCGAAAACAATTTATGTTATGTTGAATAGTTAATGTGTATGCAATATCAAAATAAAAATGTCAAAGTATGAAAATATGGCATGAAGTATCATAGGAAGTTACACGTATTGTATTTTCTTGCAAATGGCATGGTTATTCAGATTTTTACAAAATAAGTTTATTTCATCATTGTTTATTTTTTTTCAATAATGTTGGTAACCTTAATTGCTTCTGGCTTAAGGTCTCAATCACAATTCTCAAATAGATCGTTATATAAAAGTGCGGTCTCAAACACAACAAAACAGATGATGGTGAGAAGACACACGTAGGATTAGACAAACAACAGGTCACAAAAGTTACATAGAAACCATAAGGTTGAATTACACAAAAAAGTCCCTACTACGTTAATTGCATCCTTGTTGTTCCTAGCAAGTGAAGGCTCGACGACGATTCGCATTAGAGGATGAAATGAACGATACAAGAAAGACAGGATTACCTTGGTCTTCTTTAATACAGATATTCCATAACATTCAACCAAAACAAAATGTTGTTAAAAATGTATCGGAGTGATGACTTCACCTTATGAAAACCTTTGTCAATGACTTCATTATAAAACAACAAAAATTGTTTTTATTGAATAGCAAATACCATTGTCATGCTTAGGAGACATCACTTTTGAAATTGGCAGCTGATCAATTATGCATCTAGAATGCAATAAATTATAATAGAACTATTAGTTCGAACTACAAAACACTTTTATTAAGATGATTTGATTTTAATTGCCATTGTCTGACACAATAACTTAATATGTAAAAAATAATCATAAGTTATTTAAAATTACAAAAAAAAAATAAAATATATGTGACTTTAAAATGTTCACTTTATACACAACATTATGTAGGCTTGTACATTTATTTCCATTCATAGCTCGTAATTATCCGATCTGTAGTTTTCGTCACCATAATTTGATACTATACTAAGTGTAGGGTACAAAACCTTATAAAAAAAATGTATAATCAAAATAATATTAGCGCTTTTCAGAAAGTTGAAACATGCAAGTATATCCCACTGAGGAATATTCAAACATTTATTAGAAGAATCGAACCACTATAAGGCATGGGATATAGCAAATTGTTTAATTAAGACACACTCTCGGCTTTCTATGATTAAGGATAATGCGTTTATTGAATAAAATCACAGTCTGAAATCGGGTTTTATTGGATCCTTAACGGGAAAAAAATTCCCTGTTCAAATTGAGCAAGGAAAAATCATATTTTTCACAGTTGAATATTTTGGAACTGAAATTCATTTACATATAACTTATCGTTTTCCGTTTTGGAATATAGAAATATCATTGATACCTTCTGAAAATTTAATGTTTATAAGTTTGAATTTTTTCGAAACAACTAGCTGTACTTTTTATTACTTTTTCTGAATTTTGGGTTTTTAATGCTCTTAAACTTCGTATTTGATTTGTCCTTAAAATGTGTTTATGAATATAATTCGAAGTTGCAACGTTAAAATTGACATTCCAATGGCATAACAAAAACATCATCATTGCAAAATCGTATCTTCCCTTTAATTTTCATTTATCCATGACATTTTAGGCCCACGGGGGAACAGTATAAATCATTTCTAAAATGTAATTGCCGGAATCAAACTTGGTCTCCATATATTTTTCTATGGAACAATAAGATGCTTTAATTAAAAAGTGTCTTTCAACTTCATTTCAAACATCCTGGTAAAATGCTAAAATTCAAGGTCTTGTGTTATACTTTTTGAACTCATTTAATGTTGAATTTCATTTGTATAATCAATTTGAAATAAAAAAAGACAGCGTAACATTTGTGTAAAATATCAAACAAATATTAATATTTTAAAAATGGGGAAAATAGAATAAGCACACCTCCAAATGAAATGTATGCATGTTTTATACATGTTAGTCTGATTGTGTCATAGAATAAAATTCACTATTTCCCCTTATTTTTGGCGAGAGTGAAAATCCTGATTTTTTTTAGTACAAATGTCATCGTGTTTTATTTTTAATCTCTCATTTTCTGTTAAATGTACATGATGTAAACGTTATATATATATATATATAAAGTTAAATTTCATTCACTCTTTTTATCCAGACGTGAACGAAAATGTAGAAAAGATAGTATATTCAAGGGAAACTGCATTAGTGTTTAATAATGCTGATCTTACCTAGCCATACCAATAAATAAAAAATACAATATTTTTAGTAAAAACATACATGTCACTACCCAAATTTCTCTTTCTTGACCATGTTAATACTTTTTCAAACAAGGATAAATTTGCTAAAAACTGCGTATTACATTTTATTTGAATCTATTTATTTGCCGTTATTGTTTGTGCAATTGTTAAAAGCCACCAACCTTCAAGGACATCCAAATGAAGTTGAAATCTGAAAATGTATCCTTACCTGGAAATTTTTTTCCTCCACAGATATCATGGAAACAATCCCACAATAATGTAATTTCTATGTGACAGTTTGCATACTGTATATCGATTTACGTTAAATTCATGGTAACACATGGTTGCATTCAAATCGTGGCAGGTTATGTAGTGTATATATTTTATTTTTACGACATATCGTCAAGATACATAAGATAGGTTTATTATCCGAATCGATTTGTTGTTTGAGATTGTACCAAGACTTGAGATTAAAGGGGCTTTAGTAATTATTTTGGCAATATACGTTGAAATAGTCAAAACATGTTTTTCTTGGCTTCCAACATTTCCCAGAACGGTATATTGAATAATTATTGGTTATCAGCAGTCATTTGGTTCAATATCGTCAAAATAAGCCTTAAAATATTGCTGATATATAATTGATTTGCAAGACTATAATTCGACCTCATTTGAATCCGTATGCATACTACCTTTAATTTGAGCCCGTTTGGAGATGCTTGCACATGGGCTGTATTTAGGTATTGAAAAGAATATCAGCTCGATAACTGAAATTTAGGCCGAACTTTTTATATTATAATTTGTCCCTAACATTTATTACATGTTTTTTTTTTTTATTTTCGACACATGCAAATGTTATTCTGTATGTCATTGATTTTTGAGGCGCACGCTCGAATGTATGGTCCACCAAATTAAAATAAGTGAAATACTTGGTAAATATTACGCTTATGTTCCGGCTAATTATATAATTATTTGTTTGTATATATTGGGTTTCATTCGATCCTTTATAAACGACTTTATGCTACAGAAGATATTTTTTCGTCTGCCAGTCTGCCAAAAAATTAGGGCAAGCATTTGATAGTCGCTTTACTGAAACAAGAACTCAAGCAAAGGAAGTTTAAAAGACAAATATATATCGCATTCAATTTTCAGTGACTAGTGTAACATCGAATGTGTGCAGTCGTATACGCTATTACATATCACTGGTCAATTTGCAGATTACTAAATTGATTTTGATATAACACACTTACAGATGGGTGCGGTCCTAACCTGTACACAGGTTAACTTAAAGCAGTCCTTACGACTGCTCTATAGGTTAACTTTGGAAAATTTTAGCAGACCTGTAAGTTAACTTTATCCCTAGCAGACCAGACCTCATGTCTGCTTTTATAGGACTGCTGCAGACCAGACCTAAGGACAAGTTTGCTAGAGCAGACCTGTTCCCAGGACAGGTCAGCTCGACCAGACCAGAACTGTGGACAGGTCAGCTCGACCAGACCAGAACTGTGGACAGGTCTGCTTGACCAGACCAGACCTGAGGACAGGACTGCTTGACCGGACCAGACCAGACCTGAAGACAGGTCTGCTTGACCAGTTCAGACCTTTGGACAGGTCTGCTTGACCAGACCAGACCTGTGGACAGGTCTGCTTGACCAGACCAGACCAGTGGACAGGTCTGCTTGACCAGACCAGACCTGTGACCAGGTCTGCTTGACCAGACCAGACCTGTGGACAGGTCTGCTTGAACGGACCAGACCAGACCTGTGGACAAGTTTGGTATTTAACAGAGCAGTCTTGTCAGTCATGGGGACAGGTCTGCTTTTTAATCGGTCCTATGGATATTCTTAACCACGTTGATACATACAATAAAAGCAGTCCTGTTTACAAGTTAACTTTGGATCATGTTAACTTTATTTTGGAAGAGCAGACCAGACCAAAATTAACTTGGGATCATGTTAACTTTTGATAGCAGACCTGGTCATAAGTTAACTTGTGTGTAGGACTGCTTGTGGCAAAGTTAACTTCGTCCAAAGTTAACTTCAATTCTGGACATGGACCTGTCCTGAAGTTAACTTTTCGGGCAATCATTAAACAGTCATAGGACCAAGTCTGCTTTTTAAGTTAACACAAATTCTGTCCTAGGACCCGTCACAGCAGTCATAAAACCGGCCCTAAGTTAACTTTAACCAGTCATAAAGTCTGCTTATTAAGTTAACTAGCTGTACAGGTTAGGACTGCACCCATCTGTAAGGCACAATTTGATTGTCTTTGCAAAATATTCAAATATACAAAGCATGATAAGTTGACAGTCGTATATAGGCATTTTAACCAATTTTTTTGAAAAATAAATATTGATATCAAAAGTTATTGGCTAATTAAAAGATTGAACATAATTACAAGATTTGAAAACTTTACACATTATATACATAACGCTCAGATAATTTTGCTCTTTCCGCTTGCTCTTCATTAGCAATGTAAATTTATGCCCCTATAAGGCAAACAACTGGTCCTCTTGAAACTTTAACTACAGGGTCACTAACGGAATTATCAAGTATACTATTAAAATCTTTATAAAGATGATATGAACAATTATTAATATTCGACACAAAGAATAATATTCATTTACTACAATTCAACGTAAGAAATTTTTAATCCTTAAATTGAAAATCTATGTCAAATGTGTTGTCTTTCAAAAGAATAAATTGAAAATACGTTTTGTTTCAAATATTAAACAACGAAATTCCGTAGGTTTTCTTAGTGCAGTAAATAAATACACACAGATGTTGCATTCATTTAAATTATCAGGTCAGTTTGACTCGAATATCAGAAATAGAAATTCAGTTTGTAATTATTGACGCGTTGTCAAGGACAAATTTTTAAATGTATGGTGATTTTGTATTTTTTGTTTCAAAGTCTAGTGAAGCAAGAAAAACAAGTAAAGATGTTGCAGCAGAAATGAAGTATAAATAAACACTATCTTTTGCTCAAAATTAATCATAAATTGTGTAAAGCTTTTAAAAATTCATTCCAGATATCCAGCTACTCTGACGTCATGAAACTATTTGCAATTTTGTTGATTTTAGTCGTACTGTCTTGTTTTACTCAACAGGTTATAAGCCATCGGCGGCGTAAGTAATAACTTCTTCATTATAATTACTAGTATGTATCAATGTTTGTATAATTTCTAAACAGTTTAATAACAGACGGCTATAGGAACCATGCTCAGTTCTTGGTCTTTCGCTAAAAATGTATAGTATCTTTATAATTATACGTGACAGTATACGATACTTCTTCAAATATTAGAACGACTGAAATCGACACAACATATGTTTTACCATCACAAATTGGTTAACCGATACGATGTGCCGATGTCTCTACTCACTAGAGGTCGTAGATCTTTAAATAGCAGTATAGTCTTCTAACCGGTAAATTACCGATTGTGTTCTATTCCCGATACTGACATTTGACTGAATGTGAATTCGCATAGCGGTTGGTGCATTCATAGCAGGAGACGCTTACCCTGTCGTCGCACACAGTCATTCTCCTTTTGGAGTTTATGCAATTCCTTCAGTTTTTGTTTGTTACATGTACATTTATTTGTCTTTTCTTTGTCAATTTGCTCGATGTGATCATCGGTAAACAACTGTTGCCTTAATTTACTAAAAATCCCGTTTGTATACAATAACAATTAGCTATAGTTCCGTTCCTTTTAATTAAGTGGTAAATTATTTTGATAAATAAGGGTAAGATACTCATTTGCTGATTTAATTTAACTATAGTTACACCGTTATTGTCATAACGAACAACGCAATTTGATTATATGCATTTTCTAAAACTAAAGAATTCCAACAGATTAACTGGAGCTTACGACCGTTGAAAAAGTTCCTGATTAAACCCAAGGACATCTTGTTATTAACTTGATTTCAATATTTGATTTACTACTTATATATATATATATACACATGTTTATACTTATATTATTTCATACTTACAGATTATGGTAAAATGCGTAACAAATGTCGTCGTTCATGTCGTCATACAGGTAAATGTTCTTGCTAGTACGAACATTGTATTGTTTGTTGATCATGTTGATAGTGATTTACATTTCAATATTATATTCTAACATCGTGTTCAATGAGAAATACAGGTGATTTAATGATAAATATTTGTGATTAAATGAAAAACACAGGTGATTTAATGATAAATATTGGTGATTTAATGATAAATACAGGTGATTTAATGATAACTATTGGTGAATTAATGAAATAGTAGTTTAGATTGATAGAACTGTTATAAGATTCCTTCATACTTACACAGTTTTCATACAGAAGAACAACTATGAGAAAAATACAATAACCGTACCAAAGGAAAACATAACCACGTGACAATAGAAGTAGGTTAAATAGGAAATGTTTTTAACAATTAAAGCGGTAAAATAACGGGAAGATTGGCAAACTCCGAAACATCGGTGACCTTGCTTCGCTAAACTTAAGTCAATGTAGGGTAGCATTGAAGACGTCACCACTGTTTCGGATTTTGGAAGATTAGAGGATGAAAAGTTTTATTACCCGTTTCATTTGAGTATGCATTTTAAATAAGTATCAAATAAACGATGGATTTGATTAAGTCAAAAGACGTTTAAGATACTAAAGAGTTTATAACTATTGGTATATATGTATATTGATAAAGAAATCAAGTATTTTCTTAAATTTGGTGTACAACTTTTCAACTGCTCTTGTAGGATTTCAATTTCGCAGATGTTTCAAACGTTGTCTTCGGCGTAAGTCAATTATCCATATTACTTTATAGTTATGTTCAGATACTTTTAATGGTAGTAGCTTTAAGATCTAGATGGGCCCCTATTTTGTATTCTTTAATATTTTATGCTCTTTTTCTATATTTGCTTTTACACTTTTTGCCCATTAATCTCTATTCTTTATATTTTAGCACCTCATTATTCTCTATTCTTTATTTTTGGGTCCATTTTTCTATATTCCTTATAATTTTTGCTCATTATTCTCCGTTCTGCAAACCCCCATCCACATCGTCAAGTATTCATATTACCAGTACAAACTAGCATTACAAATTTAAATATATATGCGATAGAAAATCGAAGACATACACTATGCTTTTGATATTTGAGAATTGAATCAGATTGTTAGTTCACCGGGTTAGTTTCTTTTAATCTTTAATGAAACAAAAGAAGAAAAATCAGAGAAAGTCAATGATGAGTTGTTTTTTTTTTGGGGGGGGGGGGGGGGGGGGGGATTGATATGCATATATTACTTGTATATGCGAAATTGGTTCCTATTGAATGAATAACCATTTGCCTTTAACTTTTACAAAGTTAGTTT